GAAAATATTTTCTTATAGAAAATATATTTCAGCTTGCCCCCTTAGCAACCGTGGCGAGCACTCGCCTGAGGATGCTGCCATACTAGTTAATAGCATATTAGTATATTATTGCAATTTTATTCTGTATTCCAAACGCACCTCTTATGTGTCTCTCGCTCATACCATGCGCACCAACGTCCTAATTTTAACCTGCGTCCGTGTCGTCTGTCGTAGTGGCATCAACTCATTTCTCGACTGGTCATCAGAGATTTCTCTTCCTCGCGCTTGCTACGCCAATTTAGTGCACCTACTGCATTTGAAGCTCTCCCTATTCTCCAGGGAAGCCGTCGATAGTAAAACACGGCACCCGAAGTTCCGACAGTACCAATTCATTGAATCTGTGCTCAATTCTGTAATCTAGAATGGCGCAGTTATTGTCTACGCACTTTACGGAGTGCTCTGTGCCTAGTGAAGTCATCCATTGTGCTGCACAATTCGGTCGAGCAGAGATCATGCACTGGTTAACAGATAATCATGATGACACGACGTGGGGCGCTTGTATTGCTGCAGTTGCCATCGGAAAAATCATTGTGAGCTGGCCAGGTGGCTATCTGAACGGGTCGAGATAACTAACGATGCGCTCAGCCTCTGGTCTTAATAGGCTGCAGCTACTGGGAATCTTGGTACGCTTCAGTGGGTCTGCAGCCTGTCAGACAATTTAGATCTTGGAGTAGCTTTAAGTGCTGCAGTGAATGAAGGGCACTTGGAACTGGTGGATCATAGAGCAGCCTGGTGTTGAATCGCAAGATTTAATATTTTACCTCGATATGGCGTGTTCAAAAGGACAACTTGATGTTCTAGGCCATACAATACTATCCGACAAAGTGCTTTGTATCCGGCGCTGATACTCAAACTGCCTCGGCTGGCCGCTTGGATATCGTGCGTCTGCTTCACGAGAACGACGTTGGAGGTTGCACTCGAGAAGCACTGGCTTGTGCAGCGCGGCGAGGACATTTCGAAATTGTGAAGTGGCTGAAACTGCAAACACCTTCCTGCAAATGGAAACTCCGACACAGAGGCGCTTTTCGATGCGGCTAGAAATGGGTACTTGGATATCGTCAAGTGGCTGCATGAGAACACATCTGAAGGCTGCAGCTTTGGTGGAATGGACGGAGCTGCGGAGAATAACTATCTTGATGTCATACAGTGGTTATATTATAATTGCTCGGAGGGCTGTAGCACTGTTGCGATGAATATTGCGGCTGCTAAAGGATATCTGGAAATTGCGAAATGGTTAAGTGCTAACAGAACGGAAGGATGTACTACGCGGGCAATGGATTTGGCTGCTGAATCTGGTCATCTAGAAGTTGTAAAGTGGCTGCATTATAACAGACGAGAGGGCTGCACAGTAGCAGCCATGGATGACGCAGCAAAATATGGGGAGCTTGACGTTGTCAAATGGTTTCATGGCAACAGAAGCGAAGGTTGCACTGTGTCTGCCGTCGATAGTGCAGCTGAATACGATGAACTTGACGTTGTAAAATGGCTCCATCATAACAGCCATCCAGTTTTATTTCAAAATAACGCCAAGTCTGGGGTTAAGCGCATTCTTTAAGCCACTGCATTCGTTAAGCCACTACATGAAGTGAAAGTATTTTACTGTTAAAAAGTATTTTCGTTTTTTGAAGTATTTAAAAAAAAATCAAGACAAATCTTCCGTGCACGATCATGGATCAGGCGAGAATTCAGATTCACTCAAGCCCTATTATGAGTAAATGTAAAACATCTGCTGTACAAGCAAAGTATATGTACAGTGCTTTACAGATGGAGTAATGGGTTCAGTTATGGCTTACATGAAGATCGCTTCCCGACAATTTCGCTATAGACAATCCCCTCGGTAGTAATCCTTAGAAATGGAATACTCCCTCAATAGCAATAAATTAGCGGTAGTCACTTAAGATATTTTTCCCTCTCACCCCTCAATCGTAAAATGGAATACATTTGAAGTCAAATAATTATATTCTTTGGTGCTTAACTATGGAAAAGTCATAACTGCACAAGAGCATTGTTGCTGCCATGATCCGAATGTTGAACCAATGATGCCTTTTTGACTACTTTGGACGTGATTCGAGCTTTAGAATCACGGAGAAGTGCTCAGCGCTCACTCTAATTGCACACCTGTGATGGCAACACCTCTTCTGAAGAGTCTTCACCACACGAAGCCCAACTGGCTGGTCGGGTGTAGACTGGTGCACGCCTCGTGCCGCGATTTGGTGGCCAACTGCGAGACCGGAAGTGAGTCCAGTGCTGTTCAGCATATCAATAGCTTCCAAGACCGTAGATTCTGTGAGCCCATGAATCTAGCTCTGTATTGGACAAACTCGGTATGTGAGCATGGTGCTAACATATTTGTATAGCAGTCGTTGGGTATTGGTGAGTGTGAGGTAGACTGGTTGGGCTAGAGAGGAGGGTATCTTTGTGTGGTGAGGCAAAACTAGCAATAGGAGGGTAAAACAGGGTGAATCACCTACATCAGTCGTTTCCATTGGTATGTTTTGTGCACTGTTCCAAACTGAAGGTACTCGGATCCATTTTTATGGTGCATTCGTGGATAGGAATACCCTTATACAGGAATAAATTGACCAAGCTATAACTACCGAGGGGATCGACTGTACAAAGAAATTTGTCAACATGAATTGTAGCACATTAACGCCATTAAGTCGCTCCCAAAAAATAATGTTGCTCTAACAAACCTAACCTAGATGGTGTCATCATGATGGGTTAAATATCGACATTAGCGATGGCGGGAATTTCTAGCAACTAGTCGTTGCTAGAGAACTACCGTAGCAAACAAAATAGAGCAAAACGTGTCAAGGCATTGCTCTTCTTCATTTTCTTTAGCTTGAGTCACCTCGATAATTAGTCCCATCGACTGCAGCATTTGCATTAAGCAACAGTCTTTTCTAGAACTGGCTGGATTCCCATCTGCCATTCAGATTGATTACGCCATCAACCAGATTCGTGGCTAGAGCAAAATGCTATTTCTAACAGTAGTATCAATTGGTAAATAGTAATACTATCGATAATAGAAACAGAACTCACTACAATCAACTATAAGCCGTTTTTGTGCTATTAGTTACGAGATGTACCAAAACAACGCTTCATATTCTCACTTGAACACGTAGAGTAGTCGTCTAGAGCCAAATTCACTATAAATGCAGGACTTGATCCCCATTGCGATGTCTTGGATCATGTTGAACACACAGGGTAAGTGTGTACTTTCTTAGATAATATAATCATCAATGTATTGCGTCATATGGATTCTAGAAAACAATACAATATTTCAAACTAAATATATTATATTAGTCCTTCTTTTTATAGTAAAACGTAAAAGTGCTTATTCGCTGGGGAGGCAATATCATATTATATTTTCGACCTAATGTAGTACTTAGCTCGGTTAACCATACAATCCGTAACTTCTCTCTTGAATGGAACTGTTGATGAACAGCATAGTAGTTCATGTTGTTAGTAATTTACTAGTAACTTACCATAGTCCTAGAAGGCACATCCGTGGATCACTGGGATCAGTTCGCCCTTCATTCCTTCTTCCCATACCCCAATCTTCCGGCAATTGAGCACCACCATCTGAACAGTAGAAGGATGCGGGTGTTAACCATACTCGCTGCTGCCGCCATCGCCAGCATCAAAGCTGCTTCGATCGACCATGACAAAGTGCAGCCATTCGCACAACCCGAACCGATCACGGACGCCGAGAAAGCTGCCGTCAAGTTCAAGCCGTCACTCGCAGTAAAGGCTGGATGTCACCCGTACCCTGCCGTGAATGCCGCCGGCGACACGAGTGCCGGCTTGAAAGGAACGGGGGCTCCTGACGGTGAATGTGAAGGCTCTCCCTTAGGGTCGCAGGTGTACAGTCGATCAAAGTGGTACGAGGATAAGTGGGCCATCATGTATGCTTGGTATTTCCCTAAAGACATGCAGAATATTGGCCTGATCAAGAAAGGTGTTCGTCACGATTGGGTGAACTTGGTTGTGTGGCTCGACAATCCAGCTCTAGCTGAGCCAACAATTCTAGCAACCTCGGCGTCGACTTACGGTACTGGATACGAGATCAGTAAACCACCCAAGCGATCAGACATCATCAATGGCACCACTCCCAAGGTGCGCTATGATGAGGACAACAGGGAAGGGTGGCACACCATTTTCCAATTTCACGAGGAAGGCGAATACCAGGATCTCATCCAGTGGAACCAACTGACTAACGCGACTCGCAAGGCCTTGGAAAACACCGACTTCGGCGATTTTGCCAACGTGCCTTTCAATGACGCGTACTTTGAAACCAACCTCAAGGCCGCGTCGACGTATTACGTGTACCGACGCCGTCGATACGGCGGTACAACAAGTTACTCGATTTGGGGATAGCAACATTTTGCTACCTGCGACGACAAAAGAACATATAAATAAAACCAATGTGTCGAAGATAATCATGGAACTAAAGACAAACAATGAGAGGGATCCCCCACAGTATTGAGGCTCCATAAGGGCCTCTTAACGCTGCGTCACCGTAGCACCATAGCTCCACATGTTCCAGCGATCATCAATAACCGCGAGTGAAGGAATAAAGAGCCTGACAAGAATACAGTTACTCCGTTTTAAAAACCTCCAGCAGTGGCAATAACCTCCCTAATGGAAATAGATGGTTTCTCTTTCACATGCCTTGCCCATTTGCGGACATGTCATCTCATACAACGTCTGCAAGACAGGCCTTACGTGTACTGAATGAGATCTTAAAATTCAGATGACCCTACCAGGTCGAAGAAAATAAAGATAAAAGCGACATACTTGCTGCTGGTTGGACATCAAAAACAGCGCATTATCGTTTAATTACCACAAGTCGATCGCTAATTAAAGAGATAAATTGCGGGCTATGATTGGACTCATTCCCGCACTGTGCATCTAGCAAAGCTGGAACTAAACATCAACTAGGAGAAATCAAAATAAAGAAGTAGATTGTGGGCACTTTTGCAAAACGTTAGTAGTCGTCTACATCTACTAGCAAGTATGTAAGAAATAAACCAATTTAAAGTTATAACCCAGGGCGAAAGCACGGCTCTGTATGCTACCGTATTGTTCGAGACGAGCAAGAAGGATACTGGTAGTACTAGGTATCTGATGTGTCTGCTCCACAGCCGTAGCATCCGCGCTCAGGCGAAAGCTTAAGTCTGTTCGAGCAACATCCAGATTAACATTACTTCGGCTAGTCGTAATTTACTGTGATGTTACGCTTGGCCGCCCAAGCAACATTCACCAGGGTAGCATTTTTTGTACAAAGGATATCAAATACACATCACCAATCTACCCGAATAAAGTATGGACATTCGCAGTTCGTAAGAACTGTGTATTATTGTCGCAACATGGCCCCTGTCACGGTCATGGTCACGGTAACGGTCACACCACACGACTTGTACACAAACTGCACTGCACTCTAACGGTAATTCATACTCTCAATTATATTACTCAATTGTATTACTTCGAAGAAAGGCATCTCGACTGCTGAGTATAGTTGTTGATTGATAGTTGACTAACTACAGTTGTTGACTATCATACTACAGCCGTCGCAGAGCTCAATTGATTTCTATCAGCTCAAGACAACAAGCAGAAAATGGGTCCTAAGAAGAAACGCTTCCGACGCAGCCACGGCTCCGATGGCCGCTTTATTTTTCCGGTAGCGCGGCCCTGCCAATTAAACGAGCCATGCGAGCAGAGACCTTGACAAGAGAGGAGAAGCTGGCACTACTGCGCGAGTATTCGAATCGAAAAAAAAAAAAACAGAGCGGTCTTACAGAGAATTTCGCAAGAATCAAATGCGAATTCGCTACTATCGATCGCATGGATACATTGAAGACGATGCTAATGATGATGATACTGAATCAAAGACCGGCGATATTACCGAACAGTACAGTGAGGAGAGCACTGAAGGCGGCGTGGAAATCGATTTGGAAGCCAAGAACGACGATGACGTCGAACAACATCGGGAAGCGTGTAACGAGAACGTTGAAGAGAGCATTGAAGACGGTGGTGAAGGCGATTTGGAAGCCAAGAATGTTGAGCAGGAGGAAATTAAGGAGCAAACACCCACCGGAAGACTAGGGAACGTTGTGGCCTCCTACACTACGATACACCGGAATCTTCACGTTGAGAAATTCCCGCTTCCGTATGTTAAGTCAAGCTGGAACTTTGATGAAGACGACAAGCCTGCGTTGTGCTTGTTTGAAACGACAGATGGACGTGGATTCGTAAAAAAACTTGAAGAAATTCCTCGCCAGACCTTTGTGATCGAGGTTTTGGGCGAATTGATTGATGCAGAGACCAAAGAAACTTTAGGGGATACTAAGTATATATTTGAGATATTAGCAGGCGACAAGGACGAATGCCCCGCGATGTATATCTACCCAAACGATTTCGGAATGATCGAACAAAAAATCGTAAACGCGAAGTTGCGCTATTCAACAATGTGCGTGTTGGCAAAACAAAAATTGTTAAAATTTGTCTATAAATTGGCACCATAGCGTGGGCATAGCAGGAACTTCGGACACGTTTGCGTGTCCTCCTACCCATGGCAGCACTGATGACAGAAAGTTATCATCCACTGGTGAGAGATGCGTCTTCCCCTACATGGCTTGTTGTGACACATTCCATCCGTACTGGAACATTTCGATTATTTTTCCAGTGTGTACCAAGAGGTCCATCTATCGTTCGACGAGACGCCTGCGCGTCTGCAGTACCAGTACGATGTAAGTGTGAATGCCCTGAGCATGCGTCGCGCTAAGCAGACCACCAATGACGGAAGAACGAATGTTGTCTTTGGTAGAATCAGATTGGCTTTCTTTCGAAAGATCGAACCATTGGATACGGGGATGTTGAACTATCGTTGTAGCTACAGCGTATAGTCATGACTACAGTACTAGATAAAGTTAAGCATGGCATATCCATATTTCCTGATGGCACATTTCAAACAAGGTGAAATCTCGTCATTATGCAATTTAACTCATGACGGTAACGCCTCTGGACAACTTAAAACCTGCTACGTGTACTCGAAATTCCAATAAGGTGGCTCCGACAACATTTTGCGAGAGGTAACTCTTCCCAAACCCAGCTCTAACAACGGTGTCACTGGGCCGACACTATCCCCGTACGAGCGTATGAGGCAGTTGCTGGTTTCCAGGACCGAAGAAGCCAGAGTTATTGACACCGTGGACGGTACGTAAAACTTAAAACTTTATATATATATTAGATTCGTAACATAAGTACTTGGTTCGTGCTGTCAAGTCGACTTGAAGATCCACCTGACTGGGGCAGACAAACACAAGCCTGTGCGGATTCGAATGCGGTTAATCTGGGTATCAGAACACATGCATAACCCGTGGAAATTTGCTCGGCTTCACTTTGTCGATGCTAGTGCCCAGGAAAGCCTCGAGGAAATGCTACAGGTACGTTAATGCATTTCAAGTCAACTGAATCATATAAGAGCTACTAAGAAAAGTCGGATAGGTCTTCCGTGAGCCCTACAAAGCCAAGTCTCAAGAGGTCGATTCGCTGTTACAGACCGCCACTGTGTGAAATGCGGAGATCGACTCAGAGCTTCTTCCTCCCCCGGGGCAAATTGTTTGCATTAACGGCTACACCAATCTCAAGGCGTATGGAGGAGCAATTTGCCAGCTCACGACTCGATTGAGCGGCTAATCTGGGAAGGTCAGGAAGATTAACCTCGGCCCAATGATCCAGGTTCAATCGTCTTACTATGATTTTTATCATTTCAGGCTAGGATTCTAGTTAAAATTAGGTCAATAGTACCGTTTTCTGAAGGGGTACACAATTGCGACCTTCTAATTCCCTTCTTGCGCCATTTCGAAAGTCGAGCAGGGGAACGCAGGTAAGCTAACGACACACTTGGAAGCGCACCATTGTGTTCGAGAAGAAAACGTAACATTATGCGATGCAGATGACAAAGCAACAGGGCGCAAAAACATACCGCACCGGTGAGATGGAACTCTTGTTGACTCTCACTACACAACATCTACCAAGCACCAAAAACGAATGGGAAGTTGTCGCTGCAGAGTACAATCGATCTAAAGCATCGCAATGGAAAATGCGAGATGCAACGATCCTGAAGAGGAAATTTCGCAACATGTGTGCAGCCTCAAAAGAGACCAGCAGAGAGCTAGCTTCCGAAACCAGAGACGTGATGAGGATGATGAAACAACAACGGCCCGTACATTCTCACAAAGTTCCAAGCCCTCCTTCAGGACGGCGAGCAGCGCATACGGTGTGTGTGGACGCACCAAAGCCGACTGAAGCGGAAGACTGTCTCTCACCCTTTAGGCCTCATTACTGCGGCGAGCAAAGCGGCGGTCACTCAAACAAGCAGCTTCGTGAGTTGTTTCGACAGCGCAAGTCAGATCGACGTGCGGCCCGACGCCATCACAAAGAAGTTTTGACGAACATTGCTTATCTAAAATTTTCCATGGAGAGTTTTTTTTTTTTTGCAGGCAGAACCTCCTTGAGATAAACAAATAAACCGCGAGGCACTCTTTGCTGAAGTCCCCGAATCACATCTCCTGCTTGTCCACATCGTTTACACAGTATAATCATCCTACCAATGCGTAGTAGTTGTGTCTAAACACATTCGTATCAAGTCTCACTAGGGTCAAGCCGCATTCTAGAAACTGATACAATGGGACAGCAACCCACTTCGATGTTCCGCGGTTGAAGTAGGTACATTCATTGGCTCAAACTTATAAAAATGATCCTTGGTATATTTTCACCAAAATTTCTGCTGGCTTTCACGACGCAGAATCTCATTACCATAGCGCATAGTCTAGCCTGCGTCCTTCTCAACCTACATAAACATTCGTCAGCAACGAGTTTGCGCTCAAGCACCAGAAAACAAAAATCTATGGGATTAACTATTGTATTTTCTTACAGCAACATCACTGAGACTAGTGCAATAGTTTATCACGGTTAAAAACATAATTTGAATTAGCAGAGCCCTTATTGTCATACCCACCTGAACAAAGAAACATAAGTAGCTGATCGTGAGCCGACGATTCATGCAAGTAATGCAAATATAGCTCACTCAGAAAGATAATTTGTATTTTATTCAATATCTGAACGTTATCGACAGATTTTGACATGTATCTCAAACTGTCATTTACTACATTCCGAAAATCATTTTCGATTTAGCCTAGGTGAAGTGGAGTAGCGGAATGGTGTGGGCTGAACTCATGGAAACGAATTCGGGACGTCGTCAATGGGCCTTTGATGCAGAAGCCAAGGTGTGCGAAGAAATTGAAGCTAGATTCCAACAACAAGCGACTCAGCAAGACGTGCAGGAATGCCAAGGTGGCAAAACGCTATGGAAGGACTTTGTCAGGTTCAAATTTTAACGCAGCAAGCTGACGACATCTGCGTTCAAGCTTATCGTGAGTTCTTAGCCGAGCAGCGGTTCCAACGGCATCACGAACAGAATGATCGTACCAACGCGTTGTGGCAGCAACTACAGGATCAAATCCAAAGTACACCTGCGCCATCCAACGCAACCTCGACATCGAATCCACAAAGTACACCTGAAGGTGTTGAAGTTATCATAATTGACAGTTCGGGAGACGAGGGATCGTGCGATGAAGGGGCAAAAGCGTAAAGTCACGGAGAAATCACAGTGATCATACATTTTTCCCCTTCGAAATCACGCCATTTTTTTTTTTTAGGAAAACCAGTCATACCATGTTGAATGCTAGTTAACGTGGGTTAAATAAATAATTAGTATTGGCCTCCTTAGGGTACCACTTTGAGACCGTAGTCCAATGTTTCCTTTCTCTGATAGTCACCAAGCCATTTAGTGACACGTCCAGTGGTAGCTCGGAGATTATGCTCTAAGCAAACCCACAAGTCCGAGTGGCCGTCCTGCAGTACTGGATGCTCTCCCGCACGTAGTTAGCCTGGTAATGCGCTACAGCACACAATATACGACAGTTAGATCAATGATATATTTAAATTCATATGGAGTGCAGTAACAGGTTTTAGCAGAAATTACCTACCCGGTGTGGTAGTTCTCAGCATACTCACAAGTCCGAGTGGCTGTCGTGTGCTACTCACCGCCGCTTGATGTTTCGCTACAAAATGCACCACACAAGCGAGTCTTAGCATCGCTAGATTAAGCTTCAAGAAGAAAGCACGTCGCACCTGCAGTATGCCGTGTGGCGTGCGTTTTGTGGTGCCCTTTGGTCGTATATACCGCCGTTGGTTTGTATCCTCTGAAAACAGTTTAGTCCTAGGTGTTACTGCCTCTAATAACGCATATTTGTTTTACCTCGATTTATTTTTATTATTACGACTCTATTTAAGAGGACAAATTAGCTAAAAAAAAAAACTTCAAGTCCATCGCTTTATCCATTTCCTTTATCCATAAAGGATAAGTTCTTACGAACTGCGCCTTTCCCCCAGAACCAACGGGGCCGGGAACGCTAATTATGTCTGATATCAGCTGAAATGTCACGTAATGCAGGTTCAATAGAGAAAACCCACTATTGGGATACGACGATGCAATCTAGATATTGTATCATACTCTCAAGTAAATTTATTAATGTTTTGAGAGGTGAAACGTTTGGTCTCTGAGTATAAGAAGTTAGAGTTGTTTTGGGCCAAAACCTCATATAAAACCTAGAGAATTCTGTAATAGCAGTAGTGTATAGAATCCGTCATGAATAAGATTGACGAAACTTTGAAATGCAACAATGACTGTCATAAACTTGAATGTGTGACTTGCTAAGATGGCTACTGCAAGGTTGGCGGCGGCCAGCGACAGTTCTTATGAACTGCGCACAACAGTTTCCATTATACGGTACGGCTACGACATAAACTGTATTTGAGTTACGAAACTTAAATACCGAAGCCTTATCTGATGTATACGAACGTAGATTGAGTCGCAATTTCCTTTTTTTCCTTAGGACGCCGCTGTCCTCAAGTTCAACTAATCGACTTTGTATACTTTTCACCCGAGATACCGTAAAAGCTGAGCAAACAACTTTATTGTGGAGTAGCCTCATAGGGTTGTTCGGGTTGTTCAGGTAAAACACTCAAGCTATCTCCCCAAACCGCCTAGATTTACTACCCTTCCAGCACCCATCGTCTTACGCGATGATCTCCTCCCAAGGTGACGGGTCCCACTCAGGGAAGAACTTGGCGATAGTGCTCTTCACCTCTTCTTCTGTTCCCGGCACGCAGCGTCCGTCCGCGATGCGCGTCTGAAGGTACGCCATAACGTTAGTATCGTAGCCCTTCTTCGTCTCCTCGTAATCCAGCACCTTGATCCGGAACGTCGTGCCCAACTTCTTCTCTAGCTGGGCAGCGATCTCCTTCGGGGACACTCGGCCAGCCTCAACAGACAACTGAGCTCCCTCGAGCGAATCCTTAGACGCAGTGGTCAGCACGTGCGCGACGAAGCGACTGAAGTCAGAGCGTGTGACGATACTTATCTTGGCATCACCCTCGTCCGCAACGCTGATGGCACCTTCGTCGATGTTGTATCCCAACATGCTGCGAAATAGGCAATAGAAAGCGTGTGTTAATAGCTGGGAGGCGATGTACATATTTTCCTGGTGAATTACACTCACAATGGCAAGTATTCGGACCACAAGCCACTGTGGAACAACGTAGAGGGCATATCAAGTTTATTCAGGAGTTGGCGGACTTCTTGCTTTGTGGCGTTTGCTCCGTCCTCATCACGGAAACCGAACTACCAAGAATAATGAGCCGGTTAGAATGGAACAAGGAACAGAAACCAGATGGATCCGCGGTGTTGTTACCTCGGTTGGCACAAAGAGTTGGATGCCAGCAGCTTTTGCTGCACGAGCAATCCCGAATTGACTGGCAAGATGCTGTGAATTAATTGAGCACACACTATAAAAAGAGCGTGAAAAGTAAATACTCGGAAATTAAACAAAAAGCAAAGTGGGGTGAGAACTTACACGACTTCGCTTCCGACTAGAGCACCCTGCAGCGACGTTTCGTCATCGTAGTTCACCTTTGCAAGAGTCGCTCCACGTTCTTTGAGCGGCTGAAGCTCGGCCTACGTATTCATGGTCAGGGCAAAGCATATTACGTTTCAGGGGTAGCGCATATTGACGGACCTTGCCATCGTCCCGAGTCAAAATCGTTATGGTGGCATTGGCCTTGAGTAGATCATCGGCAATGCAAGAGCCGACGCCGCCGGCGCCGATGATTGCGAATTTGGTGAACTTGGACATTCTTGCTGGAGAAAGAGAGGGTAGTTGGAGGTTTGATAACCTGAGAAGAAATTGAGTTGTGTCACGAACAAACTCTAGAAGAGAGTCGAGGAACAGCCATAGCTCTTTACTGAATACGTCAACTGCTCGGGGGATATCTTGCAGTCAGTAGACATGAGTTGGAAACTGTACGCAACGTACATTTATATCACACTGTCGGTGTGGAAAAAAAAAAAAAAAAAGTGGAAGGCTATTTACTATCATACTGCCACTGTGGGAAATGGGATTACGAAAAGTAAGACTACAATACATACGTAATCTTTCTTACGTTGAAGTATGGTATAGCTCGGTCATGCTGGTAGAGCATGTTGCCGACTGTTTACGCGAACGAGTTGACGAAGATAGAGGATCACGCGCCTTCGTTGTCGGTTATGCTTCGCCCTTAATGATCTCGACGGAGTCTCCTTATCGGCACTCCAAGCATCACGATCTGGTACTCCACTGTATTTTGTTACCAAATCTAGAGATCTGAGTGATGCTGCATTTCATCGGATTTTGTACAGAAGTCCCGCAGACAACATTGGTGTCCCGCTTACTACTGCAATGAAGGCTACAACATGCATAAAGTGTTTGGGTAATCGTCCCGTCGTCTCATTTTGTATTGCAGAGGTCTACACAGTATCAGTTTAATGCTATTGATGCCTCGGCGCTGTCGTCTACACGACCTTAACTAGTAAGTCGATAGCGATAAGGTCGGCGATTGGGTAGAGAGTACTGTTCTTTGAAGTCTCAGATTCGGCAATTCGGTGTGAATAAAAGTTGTCATCACTAAGGCGTAAATCTGATCAATCAATTCTTAGATGACTGCTAATTATGGTAAAAAAAAAAAAAAAAGTTGCATTCAAAATGACACAGATCCGAAAACAGCGCGGCTTAGACTAATTATGCGCTTTTATTGCGAAAACTCAATTGCTCGCTGCATATAGTGTTGTATCGTATATATCACCGATATCCAAGCTACACATCCATAGTTCGCGAGAAATCTCACTTTTGCGACTGTGGCCTATTAGGCAAGTGTTCTTTGGACCGAGAGGCATAATTTAACTCCTAGTTTTGTGAGTACAGCTTGAAAAACTCTAGTACCCCTATAATTAATAGCAGCACTGTATCATTATACGCTTCAAGATGAACTGTATTTGAATAATGAAACTGAAGTATCCCGGACTTTATTGTTGCCGGCTGAATGAGAACGGGTTCAGTCCAAATCTCTGTGTTTCGCTTCAATTTTCAACAAATTGACTTGGTATGCTTTACAGTGACAGGTCGTAGAAGCTGAGCAAAACTTTACTTAGTTTTGTAAAGTAGCCTCATCGGTCGTTCAGCTAAAACCAATCGAGCTGTCCACGCAAATCAACCTCGGTGCCTAGACGCCTAGACTTAGCACCTTTCAATCATCTAGTGGGCAACCGCTATGAGCAGGCGACGCCATTTGGGGACCTGGAAAGAAAAAAAAACATAGCCTCTTGAGGACGGATCACCTGCATGGTTGAAAATCACGGAGGCAGTACAGTGATCATTTATCCAAACTGAGCACCTTAGCCAGTGTAGACCTCGTCGGCGCTGCTGCTAAAATTTACTATACAGAGCTGGCGCTGGTTGATGATCTCCGAGCATAAACTACTTTGTGTTTGATCATAGTTTACGTTAACCTCCGCATCGAATCCAGGAATGTTGTTTAGTTTTATTATTTGATAAAAGTGAAGCCTGCAGGTAATACGTTTTCGGATAAAGTAATCGCAGTTTTGTGGATCTGAGCTGAACCTTTGTTGCATGATTTGATTGATTTAGACTACACAGCACAAAAACTATCATTTAATTCAAAAGTTTTCAGAAATTCGTAACGAATGAATGGAAGCTGACGTCACCGACATAGATGAACAATGATGAACTAATAGTTCACGCTTAAGTCATGATACCTCAAGTCTAAATGGATACTCCCGTCTCACTGATGTACTTGGAAGTCTGCGAAGCCTGTTGCAGCAACGATTCAATCGTCGAATGCATGTCTGCGGCTGAATAGAGATGTGATGAGAAGCGCGAGCTTTGGCTGCAGGAGCTGCTGGCACTCTGACTGGACGTTGTGCTCTCATTATCGCTGTCGTATTTCCACGTCGCTGAGCCAGGACCACTCATACCACCCAGGCCAAGACCACGTACCTTGGCGTACGAAAGGCTCGTGAGTCGATCCATCGTCTCAGCTTGAGAGAGTGGCGGAGAGTCTACCACAGAATCACTGTCAATATCGTAAAGATCAATGATCGAATCGGCTCGTCTAGTACTGCCTCTAGAATCGCAAGAGGATCCGAACGAGTGGTTGGCACGTGCACGAGGCTTCAGGAAGGCGTGCGACTCCAGAGCTAGAGCTTCCAGACGAGCACTGATCTTCCGCAGTAGGTCAGCAATGCTGGACATCCAGTCGTTGGAGACGTGGCTGCTTGCAGGTACGTGGTCTCTCTTCCACAAGTCCAATGTAGCCACACAGTACGCTTCACCACGTGAGAGCGAGCCACTCGTATCAGCACCAGAAGAGTAAATAGGGAAGCTCAAAAGCGACACAGCGCCCTGTTCAGTGTGGAGTGGGTGAGCACGGAAACGTGGATCGTGTTCCATTTCGGCCACGAAGAAGGGCGAACGGTGGTGCACCGCATAGGCGCTTACGCTTTCTTCTCGAGGAACAACATCATCGACAGTGACAGGAGACGCTTCTAGCTCCAACAGTTCGTCGTCAACGTCCAGTTCGGGTTTGTTAGAGACCATCACAAGGCAGTATACCTCGTAGCTACCCACGATGTTGATACTGCAGCCGTGCCACTGCGAGGCCACTTCCAAGACGCGACGTGCCAGTCCCTCCAGTTCGGTATCGTGACGCAAGAAAACCAGCGATCTGGCGTCCACCTTAAGGCCAGTCACTTCGACATACTTTGCACGTGCCAATTCATCACCAGTTCTTTTGACTGGTGCCTTAGGGAAGATATTATACCAACTGAAATCCAGCTCGTAGTCCGGTTCGGGTGTTTTGAGTTGTACGAATTGGATCTTAGAGGTCATGCATGAGCTTGCACGTGGCTTGGACGCGTGTTGTAGGTCGCTCTCCTCGTCCTCTGATGTCGAAAACAATGAATGTGTCGGTGCTGAAGACGAGAGTGGAGTGATGAAATTTAAAGGTTTGTGAGTCACCTTCTTGATTGGCTGGTCTTCGAGCAATACGGTCTTGGCACGTCGAGTGCGTATGGACTTGGACACCGCTGACTCGCTGTCGTCTAGCTCAATATGACTCGATAACGTGGCGCGTCGATTGTCGGACGTTGCAGTCACAAAGCTCGTGGCACTGGTACTTGATGTCGTACTTACAACAGATCCCTGCGAGAGTTGAGACTGGCGTGAACGCGCTCGTCGACGATCCGAAGTCCGAGAAGAAGCCAGTGCAGGGTCCAAGCCCAGGTCGATTTGAACTCGACCAGACGCTCGTGACGGGGTTCCTTGAGCCACAGACACTGCTGGTTTACTGGCCTTGTGTTTCGACACTAATGCCTCCAAGTTGGGGAACTGGAACACGTTCATCGTCGAGACTTCAGATGCATGTGTCTTGCCTGAACCAGCCAAGCTAACTGAGCTCTTCCTGTCATCGGTAGCTGCATCCACTACTGCCTTGTGCATCGCAGTGACGTTGGCTGTCTCGCCATAGAGACACTGAGAACACACCCGTTTCTTGCGTCGAGATAGCGACGGCGCAGCGGCTAATACGGACAGACACTGGTTACACACCAGTTTATCGCATGCCTCACACTGCTTTTTCCAGCGAAATGGGCCGAATTTACGGTGGCAAACACTACAAGTCCGTCCTCCAGCGAACATACTTCCACGCAGCATGTTGGGGTCACAGTCCTTGGGGTCGTGTTGAGGTTCTCTGGGCTGACTAGCAGTCAGAATCGGTCGTATCTTCTCCTGTCGGTAAGCATCAATAAATGGCTGCAGTCTGGTTAGACACAGTGCGTCGTGTCGGAGTCGCTGCTTCTGTTGGTTTAAAACCTCCTTGTCGTCTTGGTCCACTACTTGTTGAGGGTCCAACGAGCATGAAAGAACAACTTCTAGAGTTACAGAAGCCTCCGCCTGCTGCTCGTCATGAGATGACATCTCCTGGATAATATAGGTAATGCTAAAGTCATTGGAAGCCAGTCTTTCAGATCGAAAGTCGTGTCTCCTCTCCGAGAACGATGGAGCGCTTACTGGTCGGTACAAGTGCAGTAACGAAGGCACTGAGCTCGTTGTTTTGGGTGTAGGTGAGTCGGAATTCTTCCTCTTACTCGTATCCGAGCGTTGTAGTCTCGTAGACAGCGTGTAGCCCAGTAGCACATAGTTATCCACAGAATCGAGTAGCACGGCGTTCTTGGTCTCCTGTCCAGGGTGTTTGGCCGTGTAGGGCTTGAGGCGCGCGTACTGCAGCGCCACGTTCTCTCGTTCGCTGGTCGAGTGCTCCAGTGTCGGGTAACGGGCGATACGCCCACCGGACACGTACGTGGCAGGTAGCAGTCGTGCAAGTAGCGAAGGTGTGTCATCTCTGCCGAGGAGCGCTGTCTGTCCCGTTAGAACTGCCTCAACCTCGTCCAATGAAGCTTGCAATGGCTTCACAGCTCGTAGACTGTACGAGCGGTTAGTAGAGCGCCGTGCGCTCTCGTACAGCTTCGCAGCCTCGTCTGGTAGTGTGCCAATACGCTTCCAACGCATTGGTTGGAAGATTTCCTTGGCGCGTGCGCGCCCGCATAGTCGCGCTTGCTGCTCATCGTCCACCGCTGACAAGGACATTGCTGCAACAGGCAGAGAGGACAAGTGAAGCGTGGCAAAAAGGAGGCGAGGTTGAGGAGCTACGCTACCGTTGGGATCCTACCCAAAATACAACGGAAAGGCCAGGAAGTCAGAAAATGGAGTCAGAATTGTCATCCTCTTTGATATATGATGCTGACTTATTTTATACTATGGGTAAGGTTGCTTTCCATATTATCAGTTAGTTTTTGTTAAAACCGACTTCTGTATTCTGATACCTTCTATAATATATATTGATATTTAAAAAGGGTTGTAGTAGTGAGTGAAATATCAAATATCACGTTTCTCTCAACGTGACAGCATTTGGCTCGCCTCTGCCAACACGTGTTGGCCTGGGCGGTGCAACTGCCGGGACGATAGCTGCGAGCCATAAAGCGCTTGGCTCCATGCATCACTTCCCACTGCAAGAGCTTCTACCTTTTGTGTGGCTCAGTTCATAGTGGACAGGCACGAAAAAAAGGAGACGAGAATGCCATTCGTTTCAACCGATTCTTCCTTCAGTGCTCACGGTCAATCGTTTGCAAAGACCATAGCCCAGCAACGGGAAACTCGGAAGCTTGTTTGAAAGGTCAGCATCATAATGTCCGGCTAAGTAATTGTAAGTTCTTGGATAATGTAAGACTCTAATAGCACCAACTGTCCTACCAAGGAGTTCGTCGTAGAGTACGTGGGAGCAAAGTGTGATTTGAGTTCAAACTTGTTGGCGAGGACGACGTTCTACGATTGCTTATGGGGTGGGCCGCGGCAATATGGCGTTCAAAGTCACCTTTGGGAGAGGAAACATACGATATCCTGTGTACTTACCGTGCGGTATCCGATGGTTAAGTTGGAAAGTAATGGATCAGTTCAGCGCTGACGACGGCTAAATTGCCTTTTTATGCTAATGCAGTGTTACCCATGTTCAACTCTTAGAGTTCGTTGACGAAGGTGACTCTTTAGAAACTACAGGTAACGTTAAACGTAGAAACAATTAGGTGCATCGATCTGCGCTCCAGTCTGCAGGTTGCATGGGAAACATGACAGCAGAGCCGCCGATTTTTTAAAATTTATTTTGGGCATGTCGTCGCATGACTAATGAGATTGAGATTGGAAACTCCAAAATAAATTATCGTGTTTGAAAACCAATACCATATTTTGAGATTTAAATTTGAATGAGCTAAAGTTTGTATGGATCACAAAAAATATTGGAGGTATTCTACTAATGATATTAATGAGTACTATTAATACAACACACCATAAATTATGGTGTCGTAAAGCTAAAAGCAGTGCCATAAATAAGGGCTGCGTACATGTATCTATGGCCATTACTTGAGTATCCATTTATTTTTCGATGAAAGTCATTTTGGCGCTGTGACCGATGGCCAGCATCAGAGCAACAGGAATTAAATAATATAAGTAGATTGCGGGCACTTTGTAGATCCTAGGTAGTCGTCCGGTTCTACATATAAGTAGGTATGCTGTCGAACAGAAGAAAAAAGAGGAATTTCCATATCTCAGTGCTAAGCACTGAGATGTGTTTTTGGGATTGTAAAAGAGCCCCTTTCTGGGCTGTTCTCAGTGAACACATATTATATTAGTTTTTACCCTTTGTAGTACTGAACGTAATACATATATTAGTATTTAAATGATACCATGAATAGTACAAATAGATGAAATGCATATTTGAGCATCAATGGAGGTTGGTTTCACCGTACCATCGCATGAAATACCATCGCATCAAAAGAGAAACCACCATTATGGTGTTACAGGCTGGAAATGCAAGTAAAAATACATTCCGAAGGCTTCATCTTTCTGCTCGTTTCTTGCCATTATCCGTTTGGACGCGACAGCTGAACTCTCCAAGTTGATCCAAGGCAACTTCTCCAGCACATTTCGCTGTTCATGGCTGTACCGAAGGTGGCCCCGTTCTACGGTAATGCCCCCTTCATACTGGAACCCGGCGACCTCACGTCAGCTATCGTTTCAGGGCTCCTTCGACCGAACGTCTTCGTTCAGCAAACCGACCGAAATCTAGAAAACTACGGCGTCGCCTACAGTCGCAAGGACAATATCGGTATTGAGACTCATGGTTCTCAAAAGGCCATTCAAACTCGCTGTAAGGAATTTGCTAAGTCTCGCGGATTCCAGCTGAAGGTTGCGGGATTCAGCAGTAAACACGGCGGTGGTAATGCAAAGTACGTCTGCAAGAAATTGAACGGCCAGCAGTTCTTCGACAAGGAAGCTGACCAAGGTGCCATCAGTTGTCCGTTTTTCTTCAACGTCAGTGGAGTTGCCGGTGAATGGAAGTTGATAAGGGCCAATTTCTGCCACAACCATCTCAAGAACGTCGGGTTTTCTGGACGCCTTGTTGCTGAAGCGACCATCGCTCGTCCTGACAAAGTCCTGCGGAATACTACACAGCAGGTTGACGAGATGATCCACCTGGTCCGATCCGAAATGCTGAACAAGTATGAAGGCAAAACGGACCGGATGACTGGAGCTGCAATCGCTAAGTTTCTTGAAAGGAATTACGACAGGTCGGTCTTCAATAAGCCGAATTAAGCTAACCCTTGACGAGTTGAACCACGGCGATCGATTGACTAATTACCAATAACTGGAAAGTTATCTGAAACTCATGGCGGAAAAAAATGCAGGCTCGGTCTGGAAATTCGAGAAGGACTTTGATGGGACTTTTCAGCGTGCCTGCTTCATTCCAAGTATCGGTATTCGAGTGGCAAGAGCGGGTAGGCGTTTATTTGGAGTTGACGGTGCTCACTTGAAAGGTGAGATGAACAACTATGGAGTTTATCTCGTCGCGACAGTGAAGGACTACGACAACCACATTCTACCCTTCGCATTTTCTCTCGTCCCGACAGAAAACTACGATCACTGGGTGTGGTTTTTATCCGCGGTGAAAGAAGCTCTAGGAGATCATGATCGCTTCACTATTGTTTCCGATCGCCAGAAGGGGCTTCTGTCAGCCGTCGAGACCGTGTTT